AAGCTCCGTCAGAATCGGGAAGGACCTCTCCGAGCCGTTCGATACCAAACGAGGTTTCAGACAAGGCGATTCCTTATCGTGCGACTTTTTCAACCTGCTGCTGGAGAAAATAGTTCGAGCTGCAGAACTAAATATAGACGGCACCATCTTCTATAAGAGTGTACAGGTGCTGGCGTATGCCGATGATATTGATTTCATCGGCCGCAACACCCGCGCTGTTAGTTCTGCTATCTCCAGACTGGACAAGGAAGCAGCACAAATGGGCCTGGCAGTGAACGAGGGCAAGACGAAATATCTCCTGTCATCAAACAAGCAGTCGTCGCACTCGCGTCACTGTTGACAGTCATAGCTTTGAAGTTGTAGATAATTTCGTCTATCTTGTAAACACCACCAACAATGTCAGCCTAGAAATCCAACGCAGCAAGAGTTATGCCAACAGGTGCTATTTCGGACTGAGTAGGCAATTGAGAAGCAAAGTCCTCTCTCGACAAACAAAAACCAAAGTCTATAAGTCACTCATAATTCCCGTCCTGCTATATGGTGCAGAGGCTTGGACGATATCAACAACGGATGAGTCGACGTTGCGAGTTTTCGAGAGAAAGGTTCTGCGAAAGCTTTATGGTCCTTTGCGCGTTAGCCACGKCGAATATCGCATTCGATGAAACGATGAGCTGTACGAGATATACGACGACATTGACATAGTTCAGCGAATTAAAAGACAGCGGCTACGCTGGCTAGGTCATGTTATCCGAATGGACGAAAACACTCCAGCTCTGAAAGTATTCGACGCAGTACCCGCCGGGGGAGCAGAGGAAGAGGAAGACCTCCACTCCGTTGGAAGGACCAAGTGGAGAAGGACCTGGCTCACTTGGAATATCTAATTGGCGCCACGTAGCGAAAAGAAGAAACGACTGGCGCGCTGTTGTTAACTCGGCTATAACCGCATAAGCGGTGACTACGCCACTCAAGAAGAAGATATAAAATTTTGTAAATCCCCCAAACGAACTGCCATGGCATTAGGTTCAAAATCATCGAGCCACTCCTCGACTGGGTGTTGTCCCGTACCACTAAAATTTGGGAGCGATTCCTCGGGATCGCGCAGAGCGAAGACCGCAGGCCTGGACCCCATCGCCGGCAAGATGTTGTTTTGCACTGAGCTTGTTTTACTGTCTGAGCTATCCTCTTCAGCATCTACAGTCAGTCCCAAATGCTCACAAAGTCTGTCCTGTAACGTGGCTTTACTGCCATTTGTCAATAAACCCAGTGCCAACAATTTTTCCTTTAACCCGTTCACTGTCAATAACAAAATCTGTTGCCTGTCCATATTGACTGTTAACAAGTGTAAATGGTGTAGAAATTTGAATACAATTTAGGTATTTAATATATAAGAAGTAAAGCAAACCGTAAAATATACGTTGACAAATTTTGCTTTCATATAACGACTTGAATACAGAGTTAATTCTTATTATATAAATTTAAATTAAGACAATTAATTTTCACAATTTGTCTTTCTGAAACTGAGTTCAATTTGGCTTAATTCAAAGCTCCCTTCAATTAACTTAGAATTTGATTTACAATTCTTAGTATATTTTTTTTTATAATAATACAAATTTTAGAATATCAGTTCCATTACATAAGTATTTTGAATTTTGTTTGCGAATTTTCTTATAGGTTATCGATACAAAAAAATACAAGATTATCGATAACTTTACCAAAATATTCTAATTAATTCGTAGATCCTCTGCGAATGGTAGGCACCTTGCCGCGGCGCAGAGGCTTAGTCGCAAGGCATACTCGGCACCCTCCAACCGGGGTGGATGGTGCTGATTAGCACTGCCCAGACAAGATATCGAGCGCCGCATGCGTGCGACAACCAAGAACAGCCACCTCCTAATCCAGGGTGTTATGCGACCCGTGCCCACTGAATGATTTGCAGCCAGGAGGAAAATTCGGCTGTATTCTCCTCCCCAACACCGGGCCGAATTGTGGTATATCTGTGGCCTTTCTGCGCGAAGGGGCTCTGGCGTGGCGGCCCTCCTAGTTCCTCATAATGACAAGTAGACCCGACAGCTCACCCCGTTGAGCCAAGGGTCGTACGAACAAGATGGATCCTTTTTCAAAAACTACAAATAAATCAAACACAGGCGAATCGACTAGGCAACAAAAAAGGACAACGGTAACGGAACACGACAATTAGAAGGCAACCGGCGCAGCTGTAGGCAGTGGGGGTCAGGGAGCTAAGCGAAAGTTCAGCTTCCTTGATGCTCTCTCGCCAGAAGAGGGGGCGCTGTTCGAGGAGCATGCCAGGGAGGACGAAGACGACATGCCCTCTTGCAGCGGCGCCCGGCGTACAACAAAAACTACGACCGCGGACGCAGCTCAATGCACCACCAGGACCCCCCGTAGTGAGCCAAGCTGCTCAGACTCGGGAGAGCCTCATCGGGCAGAAGCCGGTGGTGCATGCAGAAGGAGAAGGAGGCGCAGGAGGGGAGGGCAGAGATCTCTCCCAACAGCGAACAAACCCGGCGGGTGTGATGATCCTCGTAGGAAGGCATGAGCGGTGCCAACCTCAAGTGGTACCTGCGGCACCTCCGGGACGGAAAAACACCCGAAGTGGCGGAATCCCTGGCCAAGGGAAAATACGCAGGTAGCAGGGCTTCCCCAACAAAGGAGCGTGGCAAGACCGCGTCTGTTTGTGCGCAAGGCAGCCGGTCGAGCGACCGTGGCCTGGTCAGTGCATCACTGACCGAAATGCGTGGTGACGAAAAGGCAGTCACCTATGCACAGACCGTAAAGCGGAAGAGCGGTTAGATCACGCCGCAGAATCCCCCCAGTTCCAAAGGGCTGAGGGGCGGCAGCACGAGAACGGCCGGAGGCCAAACATCAGCACCGGTAAGTTGGGCATCCTGGGGTCAAAGGCCTCAAGTCGGAACACAACCAGATTTTTCTGTATTTCAGAGTTCCTGACGCAGGATCTGGTGGCGGTACAGGACAGGGTCTGGGAAGGCAAAGACTTCCTTCTGGCATCAGCCTACTTCCCAGGGGAGGCAACAGCAGCACCCTCTGAAGTGGTGGAAAGGCTAGGGAGTACTGCAAAAAGTACAGGCTGCCCCTTATTATTGGAAGCGATGCGAATGCTCACCACGTTGAATGGGGAAGCACGGACTGCAACTCAAGGCGTGAGTCTCTATTAGAATATCTACTAGGTAGCAACATAACGATAGAGATGTGGGCTGCGAACCCACTTTTATAACTATAAGCAGGAGGGAGGTGCTGGACATTACCTTCAGCAACGAGCATGCAAACGGATGGGTCTCAAAATTGAGGGTCTCAACAGAGCCCTCCCTGTCAGACCACAGAACGGAGACACCGGTCACGCCACGCCAAGTTTAGAGTACTCGATACTGTACCGCTTTACAAAATTCTAGAACGTTCTTTATGGGAACAACAAGTTTGTTTGTGCACTTTGCTTATAAGTTAACGGTGTGCTTAACGGTCGACACCGGTCACTTTGCGTCAATATCAGAGTACCCGCACTGTACCCTTTTACAAATTCTTCGTGCGCTCTTATAAGTTAACGGTGCCCTTAACGGTCGACACCGGTCACTTTACAGGAAGTCCAAATTACCCGTCACTTCTGACAATATCTAGAACGTTCTTTTTGTTTTTTTGAAAAAACAAAAAACGGTATAACCAAGATCGCTGCACGTCCACTCGAACAATTTCTTTACATTTCACAAAGTTCAAATTACCCGGCACTTCTGCCACGACACTTATGCCACTTTCTAGAACGTTATTTTTCTAAACACAGTACAATCAAGGCAGCTCATTGTTCACCCGAACTTTCTTTTTATAGTTCACAAAGTTCAAATTACCCGGCACTTCTTCCACGACAGTTCTGCCACTTTCTAGAATGTTCCGGCACTTCTGCCACGACACTTATACCACTTCCTTACATATGCGAAGGGATTTGCATCCCATTTCTGACACCACTGTCGAATAATGTTATTTTGAAAATGTACTTTATTTTTATAACATAACACAGCCATCTTAATACTCACTATTCTAAATTTCATATTACCGAAATGAAAAATGCCGTCGGCATATGTGCAAATGGAATATATTGCCTCTTCGAAATTTTCATAGAAAGGAAAACTGCGCCGTCAAACTTCTGAAGGGACAGCACTTAGCTTAATACATATAGCAACTTAATTAGTATTCCATATATTGTAAGCAATAAGCAATGTGGAGTCTCAACAAGCAAGAGGCACGGCAATACAGTTAGTAAGACATCGATTCTATCCTGTCGAGATGCCCCGTGAAGATTATACCGCGTGTGTATTTATGGTATTTTATAAACATTTCGTAATTTAAGAGAACAACTATTCTACAAATTTGTGCAATGTCTTACTTATTAACTGAAATAGCTCTCGAAATGCTGGGATATAAGTTTTATGATATTGATGGGAGTTTCGGTCCTACCAATTTTCAACAAATTACTGCTGGACTTCAGAATAAGGGGAAAGAAATATATGCTGAATCTTTGCAAAATGTTATGGTATTAGATACGGAAAATGAAAATAATACTACTACCCCTAATGACAAGAAGTGTGATGAAAATACAAATTCGGATGATTCCTCTGATATAGCAGAAAGAAATTGTGAACAAATACGGACATTTTCAGCAGGCTTGAAAAAGCTTTTGGATCTCGAATATGACCGACTTCGAAGTCAGGTAGAACAAACAATGCAATGTGATGATGTTCGTATTGTTGATGTGAACCTGGATGGGTCACAAGAAAAAAATGGCTCTGAGGATAGGTTGAAAATATTTATACGCAAAGAGAAAGAAAAATTAAAAACCGAAGCTAGTACTCTTAAATCTTTTCGTCATTTGGTGGAAAAAAGCACGTTAAAAATGAATCCAGATGTTTTCAGACAGTATGAGAGAGTATTTATTGGTAGTAATAAATAAGTCAGCTGTAATTTATACATAAGTGATATTAGTCGGTTAGTTTAATACGAGTTTCATGTATTATATTGGTTACAGAATACATGTACTAACCCATATATGTACATGCATACATAAGTTATGGGGCATGACTCCGATTACGTTTAGGGGGAGCGGGTGAGGGGGGGGTTAATAAAATGGAGTATGTACGGACGGGGGAGCTACTCCAGAGTATGAATTACCAAAAATTAGAAAAAAAAATAACTAATATTTTTTAAAATATTCACGTTTAAAAATTCAAAAATTTGCACTAAGAACACATGTTATTTCACTATGTTGCACTAATTTTTTTCACGTTTCTTTTAATTATATTTAAACATACGCTATAAGCTTTGAAATAAGCTCACATCTCATATTTATTTTGTATTTTTTCTGCTAAATTTAGATATTGCTTATTATTTAGATAATTGCTTATCAAATTTATGGCTGAATAGTTTCGAGTGTTTATATTTACGAGGAAAACCAGCTTTGCCACACCTTCAAAACCAAAAGTGAAGGATTTTTCAGCGTTTTCTGTGTTTGTACTTTCGAGTGTATGTTTTTTCTCTATTAACTATAAAGAAGAATTTTCGAGGARTGTTCGCTTTAGTATCCCTTTTTGAAGAGGTTTTGCGCAAAGGGGGAGGGGGATGGGGGCTTGATACTCCCCTCATTTGAAAGGTAATGAATGGAGCTTTTGAATACTAGCACCCTTCCCCCCCTAAGAGGACTGGGGGCTCTAGGGCAGGATACTAAAAATGGTGTAAAATCGTAGTTTTTCCATACAATTTTCACTAATTATTATAAAATTTATGTATTTTTACGCATAGAGTGACTATGTTTATTATTTTTACTATTTCAATGAATTAAAGTGGAAATCCACATTATTTAAATAATAAAAACACTGAAAATTTAAAATTGTAAATTGTGTCGGTAATAATGCATACAAGTAGTTGAAGTACCAAGATAACCCAACCAACCATTTGTACAAGACCCCCTAAATAATAAAATTGGGAATATCATCATCTTTGAAAAAAATTAGATATTATTTTATATAATACTGTTTTCAAAGAAAAAGCTCCCTGAAAAGCGCCGCAGGCGAAAATTTGGAATAAAAAATCGCGCGATTTTTTATTCCAAATTTTCGTTATATTGCCCACTTTTCAGAGAGCGAAACGAGTCCTATGTAAAGTAACCCAAATGTATAAAAGACCTACCATTTTTATTCGTTAGGTTATTGCTGTCTTCCTTTTGTGCTTATTTTCTTCGTCGTTTGGCAGCTCAAATCGCGCGATTTTTTATTCCAAATTTTCGTTATATTGCCCACTTTTCAGAGAGCGAAACAAGTCCTATGTAAAGTAACCCAAATGTATAAAAGACTTACCATTTTTATTCGTTAGGTTATTGCTGTCTTCCTTTTGTGCTTATTTTCTTCGTCGTTTGACAGTTCATATTCAATAATTTTGCTTACATTTCAAGGAACAGTACAACACGTAATTGAAAGCTGTTTTATTTATTAAATTGTACATAAAATTGTAACTTAAAATTCATAATTTATCATTAATTCAATTGAATATATTTCAAAGAATGTGTGTGTGTTAATTTGGTTAAATTTTTTGCAAGCAGTGCAACAAAAACTTCGAACGAAGAGAGCCATTGTTTGAGCAAATGTGAAAATGTGCGTTTTTTGCTTACTTATATCTAAAAATTAAATTAACATTTAACAAACAACATAACATTTAAAAAAATCCGTGCACGCATTTAAGAGGAATAAGCAGTGAAAAGGAGATACTAAAACGAACCCAACCCGATTTTTTCAAGCTAAAATTGAATATGTGAACACTTTTAAAGGGGATTCTTTAGAATCACGCCGGTTAAGTTTCGTTTATGGAGAAAAACAGGGTCGGGCTACCTCCCCTCCCGACCCCTTATTGGAAAGAGAAGGGATCGAACTTTTTAATAAACCCCCACTCGACCCCCAGAGCCCCTATGGACCTGTAGGGAGGCCTTTGAAAATGGCCAAAAATCAGTGTTTTTGCTCATTTTTCCATACAAACTGAAACCAATGCAACCTAGCCAACATTTTTGTATGGACAAGAAGTCAAAATAAAGAAAGCCAAAATGTTTCAGTGCAATGTATATACATATTTAATTGCATCTATCCTTCAGCCGCGCTTTAAAAAAATTATCTTGGCCTTTCCAACACCGGCTACGCCATCCGCAGTATTTTAGCATTGAACACCTTTTCCTCCACAGTATCTTAGCATTTCATTCCTTTCCGTACTAGCTGGTCGATCCATCACCGGGCTGTTCAGGGTTCTTTCGCGTAGAACTCCTTTCTGTACTGGCGG